AAAGAGGATTTCTCGGGGGAAAAATAGATCACTGGGCTGTAATAGCTTGTAAAAGCAATGAAACAAATGTTCCTTTTCAGGTTAGCCAGTATCAAACAGCTGCATTTTAAGGCAATGCAGAAAACATGAGCTACAACGTTCTCTGCTTGATCACAACAGATGGAAATATTGTCCCTCGTTGGTTCTGTTAATTTTGAATTGCTTTTTACGTTGCAAAAGATTTTACAACATTCACTACTCTTGAAACCTCAAGGAAGCAAAGATATATTCAGATTAAGTGTCACCAGCTAGGCGGACCAGCCAGACCTGTTGTTTTTTTTTCTTCCCCGTATTCATTTTTAGGTGATGGTTGCAGAAGCACTGAATATTTCCAGGGAAACATACTTCGCAATTTTGATGGACAGAGCCTGCAATGGACCTGTTATGGTTGGCAGTCCACAGGGTGGGGTTGACATAGAAGAAGTTGCAGTTACTAGCCCAGAACTTATCTTTAAGGTATGCAAGTAATATTTTAGACTAAAAATTTTCCTTGTCAGTTATCCAAAAGAATATGGGGCGGGGTTCCTCCCCTTTTCTCCTTCCATTTTTCATTCTTCCATGTATGGAAAGAAGACAGTAAGAACCATAAAAATTGTGTTTCACCAAATACGGGATCAGACCTGTCATCTAGTAGATAAATGAAGCATGTTTTGAAGCATGTTTAACACCTGATTTTGTTAGTGTTTGTTGTCTCCAGCTCAATTTAGAAAAAGAGCTTAAGTCTGGCTGTTAAATGATATGTTAAACTTAATATCTGAAATGTTTTATGAGTGAGTTTCAGGAGGGTACACAGTTTTCTCACAGATGGATCAGTGCCAATATGGTTTATTCTTTCTGTGGTTGTCTCTTTCTAATTGACAGTTGTTAATTATTTCTTTGTACCTGGATGACTTTTGCATCTGAAAGCCAACTGTTGTAATTGCTTTCTTAAGGATGACTACATTTCAGTATTTTTTATGTTGCTATGGCATGATAATGAGTAGAGAAGTTACTCATCTGGGAAAATAACTGATGCAATCAAGTATAATTATTCAAAAATTGTAAAAATATTTAATGTGCATTTTAAAATTATATAAACTTCACAGTGTTATTGGGCAGTGACACCATTGCCTTGAAAATACTCCAGAAGATGTCATAAAAATTAACAGACTAAATATTCGTCAACGCCATCTGTACAGTAATTAAAAGTGAAAACTGGTGTCACATTGTCTTGTCAGCATGCCACCCTGAAGAATTATATATTTTTTGGAAGGACTGTTTCATAGTTGGTGTGGTAATTATAACATACCCTATAGGCAGCTGCTATAGCCTCAGTCTCAGAACTCTGGCAAACAGCCATTCTTTAATTACTAATTTGCAAATGTATACTAGGTGTTTTCCTTTTGAAGTTATGAATCTCCATTCAGATTGAATATTTAGTTACATTTATGCATGTTATTGTTACAGGAAGAAATAGATATTTTTGAAGGCATAAAGGATCGTCAGGCATTGCAGATGGCAAAAAATCTGGGATTTAAAGGACCTTTGCAACAGCAGGTAACTTGAATCCCTTAGTTTTTACTGAAGACATTTTAGCCCAGCTATATGATAAATGCTTTCCAATTAGACGTGAAAGGCTAGGTGTTAATTAGATCAGCATTGTTTTGGCATGTTAAATACTAAATTGCACCCATATAATTGTCATCAGGCTTTAGCAATTTGAAGTGAAAGTCCCTGGTCTTTGAAGCAATTGATGACAACATCCTGTTACACTACGTGGGATTCTTTTGATTTCATTGGAATTCCACTGGAGCTCAGTGAATTACACAGGTAGAGCTTTTTTGGAGAATTTTGCCCTTAATATGCAGAGATGTAAAAGTGTACCTCTCTGTGTAATTACAGACTTTTTTTTTGATCTTCAACTCAAAACCAAAAGGCTGCCAGCTTGTTGTTCTTTCAGTATCTCTTTTGTATATATATTGGAATTCCATATTGCACACAAATATGCAAGATATTTTGCCTTTATGAATCATTTTGCAGGGAAGAGAAAGCTTGTTTAAGCTACTTAGGCCTGTTTTTTCATAGCATCAAACTGACATTTTTGTAGAACTCCTTTATTTTTAATGCAGCTGTTTTAATTATTTTCTATCCCAACAGTGCAATTAACAAATGCATAATCATTAACTTGATTAACACACATTTGAAGGTTTAGCTGTATATCTAATGAGGAGGAATGATTATGTAGAACCTTTCAACCCTTGAAGAGTTCTGGTGCTTAACAGCAGTATATGGAATTTCAACAATACATTTAAATAATGCTGCAGCGAATGCACTTCTTTCCTTGTGCTATCAACTCAGAGGAATTTACTGAAGCATAAGGACATAGTTTTTATTCAGATAAATCCTAGTATTTACTTACACATTCACTATTTCTGGGTTGGGATTTTATGCTTTGCCTCAAAGAGGTTCAGTACTTGTAGACCTTGAGAAAGAGAAATGTTGACATGAAGCTGCCTGGTTCAGGGAGGTGCTGAAAGATGGAGCAGCCCTTAATAAAAGTTAAGCAATTCTGGTGATCTGTTACAATTATAGCAGTGTACTAGGGAAACAACAGCTTTTCAGGTTGCCCAGCATCAATGTGGGGTTGCACGGTGGGACACTTCCTCCCTAATGTCACTGTTGATAGCCTTACCCACATGGTGTTGGGATAGTTTGTCAACCAGTGTCCCTGCCAAGGAAACTGCTGCCTTGATGGGTGCAGATTTAGAACTGATAATTTTTTTTAAAGTCAAAACCACTGAGATGCTTCAGCTGATGACTTTTGATCAGGGAAGACTGCATAAGCAATGTGTATGCCGCTTCCAAACTGTAACTCTTTAATGAGTCTTAGATGTGTTGGTCCCAAAACTGGACACGGGACTCCAGGTGCAGCCTTGCCAGCACTGAGTGGAGGGAGATAGTCATATCCCTCAACCTGCTAGCCATGTTCTCCCTGATGTTGTGCAGTATTGGGGTTAAGCCTTTCATGTTGTCATGTTTTCTTTCTTGTGAATGATGATGTGGGTTTTTTATTCAGGTTTTATATTCTCATTCAGTTAGCTTATTAGGAGAGGACCCAAATATTTTTGGTTTATGTACTTCAGTTAACTGATCAGTAATGAAGGAACAAATTTGAATGGTTCTTTATTACTGTACTCCTTCATCTGCAAACTTATTTCAGCTAATAGGTTGTCAGTGTGTAATGAACCAAAGGGATTTTTTTAATGCACATTCATGTTGCTGTTGTTTAAGTTGTTCTATTAATGGAAGAATGTTATAAGAGCAAGAGACTTAGAAGTTAGCAGTCAGTCACAATACTTACAGCCACAGAACCAGTCACAGAGATAGATGGTGAGGAACAATAAGGAACAAGCAAGAGTATCTTGTAAAGAGTAAACAAGCATGCTTCTGACATAATTTCCTGAAGAAAACATTTCAGACTGATGTAGGAATGAGAACTGCATATTTTTGCTAAAGTCACTAATGTGCACATACTGCTTTATGGTTTCTGAATTTAGAGTGATTAACGTGAATGCAACTTAGATCTCAGCATAGCGGAGAATATGTAGTTATGAACTGTTAGGCACTTTTCAAATTAAACTTGTCATAGTAATTGTGCTGTTTATTTTGTAGAAAATCTCCAGTTCATGTAGTCTTTAAATGCACATTTACTGAATGTTATGCAGTATCATAATGCTATGTTATAGCTATTTCAGATACTATATAAGTATGATTAAGAAAACAGAAATAAAAGCAGTAATTATCTAGAGCTAATGTGCAATTTAATGCATTAAAAATAATCAATAATGGTTTACCTTTGCCTTGAAAACATTAACTTTTATTTTTCTGTGTGGTAATTGTAAATCACTTGATCAAATTTAGGCAGCAGATCAAATTAAGAAGCTGTATAATCTTTTCTTGAAAATTGATGCCACTCAGGTTGAAGTGAATCCCTTTGGTGAAACTCCAGAAGGGCAAGGTAAGAAATTGAAGAAAACAAATGAATGCATTATAATTCTTTATTTATGCAAACTATAAATTAAATTGCATAGAAGGCTGTAGCAGCAGCTTTGCATTAATTTCATTTTGTAATGTAATTTAAGCAACATTCATAAATATTCCCATGGCAGATTTTACATTTCAATACCTTTTGTTATTTCATCCAAATACTGGAAGTATTGGCTTCTACATGTTATGCTTGGTGAGAAACAGCAACATGTTCTGCTCTTTGTATAAAGTCGGGTTTTTCTTGGTATTGTTTTTCGTTTTTTTGTGTCAGTGTTTTGTGGTGTTAATGCTGCTAGAATTTCTGAGATTGTGCAGAAACAAACTTGTTATTTTATATTTGTAAACATATGGGTAAGTTAACATTGTAATTGCATGACTCTGCAACCTACTAGAGCACGGGAGAAATTCCAGATGGAACTGACACTTAGCTTCATCCTTTGGGAAGAAGAAGGGTAATTGATCTGCTTCCACCATGAATACAGGGCTAAGAAGGTATAGGGTAAAAATATGGAGCTGTGTTAGCTTTCACATCATTCTAGTAGTTGGTTTTCCAGCTGAAACCTTGCCTCTCTTTTGTCATTTTTGTGTGACTAACTTGGACAAAGGCGAAGAGAGGAGGATCTAAAGATGGCTTTGCTATGTTGAAACAGAGTAGGGCTGATCCAGGCGGATCATAGTTACCATCTTGCTGTTTCATTTGATGGTAGAGCATTTTTACCCATGCATTCATTCCTAATGCCAATATTTTACAGTATTCATTCCCCCTGCCTTTTTATTTCTTGTCTTTGATTTAAACGGATAAAGATGAGAAGCTGCGGAGCTCAGGGGGAGGTAGCTGAGACTTCAGTGTCAAAGGCTGCAGCCTAGTAGAGGCCCTACCTACAGTATTACTTTTGTGATTTGAGAGAAGTCTTTGACATTGGGAAATGCTTGGTGTTTCTTGAGTATTCTTTACCAATGATTGCCAAGAAAGACAAGCTTTATACCAACTGTGTAAGATATGCCTACAGATTGAAGTGGAAATTAGAAGATGGAAAGAGAAAGCCTTTACTCATTTTATCCAACATTAGGAATGTGGCTGTTTAATTGCTGTTCTGGAAACTTTTGGAAAAAGATCACTGCTATGTCAGTTAAGAACACAAGTTCCTCATCGGAGTCAGTACCAATTGAAAGAATTAGCTTTTTTAAAATACTTTGTATGTGCCCACAGCTAGTTTGCAAAATAAACAGCTTTTCACTAAAAATCCATGTTTTTGGCTCAGTTGGTCAGGAATTCAGAAGCTGAATTGTGACTAGAAACTATGCAGTCTCTTCCAGTTGTCCAACCTTGTTTTTCACTTTTTATTAACAAACCAAAAGCAAAAGAATTGGCGGAGAATTGTGCACAGCTTAAAAGGAAAATTCTGCTGGTAGTGAACTCTGAAAAGCTCTAAAAGTTGTAAAATAAATCCTGCCCCACCCCATTTTATTAACACGTCTTAAAAGGTGCTGCCCTGTTGTAAAATAGGGTCTGGGACACTAAACTGTCCTATTGGAAAGTGACACTTTTAAAACAAATACAAAAAGGAATACCTTTTCTAGTAAAGTCTATGAGGATAATTCAGAGACAGTGATAATAATGATCAAATGTGTGTTCAAGTTTTTTACATAATGAACTGATTTCAGGTTAAACTAAGCTAGAAGAACATACTGGTGGCCTAAAGGTATGAATTCTGCTTTGATAGCAGACCTTCTTCGATTTCCTTCTTGGTTGGGGTTTTTTGGTGTTGTTGCTACCAGAATCCTTTAGCTCTCTGGACAGAGTTTACCTCATGAGAATGATTTCCACCAAATGCTTTAACTCTTTTAATCTGAGAATCTTTCACAGCACTGTGTGCTCAGATTTCCAGCTCATTTGAAGTACCATAATGATGTGCACATTGAATCAATAGTTTCTGCATTGTAACCCTTACTCGGCTTAATAAACATAAGCCAAATTCTTAGTGACTCTAGCTCCATTGGTTCTTATACAATTTGTGAAATGTGTACCGGGGGAGAGAAACAAAAAGCCCTGCTGTTGACCGTTGTAGTTCTATTGTTCGCTGAGTTTTAAATGGAAATGGAAAATTTGCCTTCAGAACCCAATAGGCTGTTGTTTTTCCCCACCATTTAAATAGATCCTCTGGCCTCATTAGAATCAGTTGGGAATGAGGCAAGAAGGACATTTTAATTTTGTGTTGCACAATGAAGTTAAAACACAACAGTGAAATAGGGCCTTGTAAAATGAATGGATTTTTGACGTTTTAGCAATGTGCAACACATGACACTTCTGGTCTTTTGAGGATGAATGGGACCTTTAAAATAGGTGCGACAAAAACTGCTGGAACTTTCCTGCGGATTATGATGTTCACTTCAAAAGAAATTCATTGGGACGTTTGTCTGCTGGGACTGATGTACTTACAAGGTTTACTTTGTGGGTTCAAGACCACTGATACTCTAAAACCAAAATTTCCTTCCTCAAAGCTTACTGAAATAATTTTTTTCCCAGAATAATTGACCAAGATACCTTAACACGACAGGGCAGCATGGAAGGTACCCAGTAGTCCTTTTGCTCAGTCAGATGTCCCAAACTGGGACATCTATGACAATTGCCTTCTATCAGCAGAGAAATGAGCTTGAGGTGAGCTCTTTGTGCCAGGACTAGGCTGTTCTGGTATTGACCCTTGCTGGTTAAAAACTAGCTCAGATAACTAGTATAGAAGCACTGCACTATTCTCTTATTTTTGCAGAGCAAAGGACAAAATCCCCTGTTCAGTACCTGCATCATCTCAGCCATGTAATCCTGCAAGGAAGACCTTTAAGTAGGTCTTGGGTATTAGTGAGTGGACTCTGTAGATGTGTGTATAGACACTGAGGAGGAAGAGAGAAGGGCAGAGACAGTGCTGTCAGAGAACAAAATCGGGGCATCATTGAGGTGCTGAAGACATATTTGTCTGGGTAGCAAAACAGAGGGGAAATTGGTAGACAAGTGGGGGCAAGTGAAGGAGAGGACAGTTGGGAATGAGAGGAAACACAACCGGTCGTCCTAAAAGGTCCTGAAGAGCCACAGTGGTACTAACTTGTCGTCCTTGCTAGAGCACTATGAAGTGGCATTGTGGAAAAAAAGAACCGATTTGGATAAATTGCCAACTTAGCTTTTCTGGAATGGCTGTGCATATTTAGGGAGGAGGGCTTAATTTGAAGGATGGTAGGAGTTCTTATGCTGTTTTCTCTGAGGTTTTTCCCCATGTGTTTCGCATCCGGGAAGCTGAGGAGCAGAAGCAGAGTGGGTTTCAAGCTGCGAAAGCCATCTTACTAGCAGACATGCACAGAAGTCTTCCTGTGCTTCCTTTTTTGCTAGCAGTTTCTCTGTCTGAAATGTCAAAGAAGAATAAAGATAAAACAAATGGAAGAATGTTTGAGTAGCTTAATGCGGTTATTTCTGATGATAAAATGTAAGTCTCTGTATGAAGACGATTATTCCTGTCAAAGTAATGGTTAAGATGGATTTATTTCTTGCTGTGTTTTGTGCTTTTCACTTGTGTGAATTTCCATAATAAAATACGTTGTCATATGTATTTCCTTTTGTTTAATTTTGTAGCAAATTCTTGGTTAACAATACTGGGTCAGAAGCCTGTAACTGCCAATTTCTTTGAGGTTTTTTGTTTGCTCTCAGTGTAAGCTGTTGAATTAGCCGATGACAAAAACTCTGTAACTGCTAGCAAAAACAACAGAAGTACTCCATGAGTATAAGTGTTGGAGCTTTCTTTGATACTTGTTTAGAAGAAAAATTCATTTGGATAATCTATCATGCATGTAACAATGTGCTTTTGATGGTGAAAATGGTTTGATAAATATTAATAGGTGTTTTTCCTGCATACTTTGTATAGCATGGCCTTTGTTAAAGATGAATGTTGTATAGAAATGAGATTCTATTAATGTGACATTGAGGATGTTCATGTCTCAGGTAAACAGAGCTCTGAAACGGCAGTTTTACTCTAGCTTTGAGTTGTTTTAGCAATTTAGGGAACTGAAAGCTTGAAGAATAAAAGTAGTGCAAGTCTTAGTTCAGTGTTAAAAAAAAAAAAATTAAAGCAGTTCTAGTATAGTAGAAGCATATTCTGAACTTCAGACATTTCTCTTTTTGGGAGATTTCCACCTGATGGTTGACCAGGTAAGATCTAGACTATTCCAGAATAGATTTATTATACACAAGCACTCATGAATGGTTTCCTGAAACTGCAGTCACTGAAAGTAAATTTAATCCTGTTTTTAGTTTAATCTGGTATTGGTTACAAATCAAATGTATTAAAAAAAAAAAAACCAACACAAAAACACCAGCAACATCAGAAAACTGAAACAAGAAAACCCAATGCAAATGAAGACATACAGTTGAGACTCTCCTATTTGTGTAAATGTTTTGTTTGCTGTTTGCTTGGATATTTTTTCCTAAGTTAAGCAATTGTATATTTTCAAAAAAAAGAGGTATTCATTCACCAAAAAAGATTGTGTGTTTATTTTTAATCGACGGGGATCTATATCAAAGACTAAAAATTGTATTTTTAATTCTAATTGGCCTCTAGCTGCAGAGACGTCTACACTGCCCTTGAGCAGGTGCATACGTACCATGTATGTGTTTCAATGGCGGTATGAATGAAAACACAGCAACAAGAAAAACAATTAGATTTTTCTGGAGCATTTAAAAGCACTTAAATCTAACTGGTTTGTGAAATCAATTATACTTCAGTCAGTAATTCTAGTCTGGATATAGTACAAGTCAAATTACTTAAGTAGTGAAATGATAAGTATATAGTCTTAGATTTACTTAGAACATCTTAATCTAATGAGTTTTTTGCCTATGCAAACCCATAGAAATGATGAGTCAGTACATAGGTGAATAATCAGTTGGGTTTTTTTACTGTTTGTTTTTATTAGAATATTATGTCTACTAGCTAGTCTTTGGTATCTATTATTTAATATAGTCAGGTTTAGCTACTTTTTAATTTGTTTTTACAGCAAACATTGACATTGATGACAAGTTTTGCATTTACTTTCAAATTTTCTTTTTTAGAAGTCATCTTTTGACCATTTTTAACATACGTTGGCTTAAAGTTTTATTTTATTATAATCTTTCGGGAAATAATGTGTATATAGCTAATAACATTATAAATTAAAAATATGGCTAAGCAAAGCAATTTGTGTTGCTCAGCTATAAATGAGTGCATGTTACCAAACATTGCATTGGATTGCTAACCTGTTACCTGTTACATCTGTCATACTTCCAAAATACTGAAAGTAGAGTCTCTGACGAAATTACTGCAGACTACCTGTCCACATCATACACACTGCCTTCATAACTTACAGGAACTTAGTTTAAGGCAAACATAGAAGATCATCCCTTGACAAAGGCACATGCCTGTGTAGTGTGGAGATGCTTGATGTACCTTTTCTCAATGTAGGATCTGAGGAAAACTTACCTCTCTACTGGACTCAATGCTAGAACTTCAGCTGATCAAATGTTGGAAGCAGCATCAATCCCTAAGCGACCTTCTCCCGCTCCCTGCTGTAGTAGTCATAATATTTCAGAAGCCCTGACTAACTGTAATCTCTAAATGTGTATGTGTTGTTTTATTTTTTTCTTTAGTTGTTTGTTTTGATGCCAAGATAAACTTTGATGACAATGCAGAATTTAGGCAAAAAGAAATATTTGCCATGGATGACAAGTCTGAAAACGAGCCTATAGAGAACGAAGCTGCCAAATATGACTTAAAATATATAGGACTGGATGGAAATATTGCTTGCTTTGGTAAGAACAAATAAATCCAAAAGGCATTTGAAGACAAATTCATACCTGTTCAGTGTATAGACTTTGTTTACATTCTGGCATTCAATCCACCCTTGACAGTATTTCTGTCTATTTTGCTGAGTTTTGTCCTTCTACAAGTTCTTGCAGGAATGACACTAAAATTGTGTTGAAACTGTGGTGAAGGCTTCAGCAAACAGGCAGGGCATGTGTGGAAGGCAGGCTAAGGTGGGGTGAGCCTGCTGGGTTTCTACATTCTGAATTTTTAAGCTAATGCAAGTAGTCTTTCCATGAATTAAAACAAAACAAGAGAAGTCATCAAAGTTTGATCATTAATTTTCAAAAATGAGACTCTGTTACTTAAAAGACACTGCAAAAGCATGTGTGTAAAAATACGGTATTCCCATTTACAAAGGAATATTGAACTCCATTTCCCCTTAAGGAAAGCTGCTAAAGAAGCTGCTTGGTTGTTAAAAGAAAAATACCAGTTTCTTATTTTCCTGCAGTTTTTGTAGAACAGAAATTACTCTTTTGTTTGGAAGAGATAAGTAAAAAGTCAGCTATGCTCTAAATAATTTTAATTTTGTACAAATTCTTTTAGCCAGTACAACATTTTATTATGAATCTAATTGAATTAGTCATTTTATCTCAGCTTGGTGAAATGACTGGTTTTAGAAAATGTCCAGAGTTTACATTGCTTGAATGTGTACTTTAACCACTAATCTAGAAGATGCTGATAATGTGTTGCAGTTGATTCAGTACGTGACAGTGAGGTTTTAATCTCAATTTAAAAGGAAAAAAACCAGCAAACAATAATTGGCAACACTACTGTATTTTTTCAGTATTTGGTGTTGCTGTTGAATTACAGTGGACACGGAAGCGTCACGTTGTCTAGCAGGAACAACTTACTGGGGACAAATAATTCTCGCCTCCTCTTCCTAGCTTAGAGGATGTTTGTGTCCATGGGAATGCTTCTGGACTGGTGCAACCTCAAAATAAAAGGCAGTTTCAGGAGCATCTGATATCTGTCCTCAAAATTTAGTCATCTGTTTTACAGTAATGCATCATCTACTGCTATCAGAATGATGGGAGAAGGAGCTTAAGGAGTCAGTCTGTCCTTCACATCTTGTGATGTGATCACTATTCCCAGAAATTTGTGGTGTTTGTTGCTTTAAACCAGATGTTTTTGCATTTCCACAATTACCATTTCAGTGCTCATACATGCTTAAGGGAAGGTGCACTTCTAAGTCCTAAAATTGATACAGGCATAAAGAAACCTAAACATTGGTGCGTAGGCACCAGATTTTGAATTATTTGTTGCATTAGATATGCTTGAACCTATTTAGAAATAAATATTTGTGTAATGTTTTGGGCCATATTATGTGGTTGTTCTGATATATTTTTAAGCCTTTTCACAAATCTTACATACTTTTATGTGAAATATAAGCACTTGATGTTTACAATTACAGTCAATGGAGCTGGGCTTGCAATGGCAACCTGTGATATAATATCCTTGAACGGTGGAAAGCCAGCCAACTTCTTGGATCTTGGTGGAGGTGTGAAAGAAGCACAAGTATATCAAGCATTCAAACTGCTGACTGCAGATCCAAAGGTAAAAAAGCCCGGTGTTGGTTTTGGACTGCAAACTTCCCCATGCAGTAATGCAGCTGTGTTACAGGGCTATGGATAGTATGCTGAAAAATACAGGTAATGGTGTGAACATCGAGGATGAGCTACTACAGGGGTGATCCAAGAGGATAGTGATTTCACTGGGAACCGCTGGGCCGACATTTCAGTTACTGATCCACACTCGGGTTTGGTCAGTCTTGAGTGGGTGCTTTCTCAAGGCAGTTCAGCAGAGAAATGCAGATGTGGTCATGCTGGGCAGTGCAGTGCTGAACTTTGAACATCTGGCTCCTGGAGTGGAATTTATAGGGAGCTTTAGATATTTAAAACGTTATTCCTAACAGTATACTGCCACGGTAGAGTGAGAAGGAAAATGTAAATTAAGCAAATGGCTAATACCGAAGGGCGATTTGTACTTTTTGAAGCTCAAATTTTCTGAAATATCTGATTCTGCACGGCAGGATAGTAGTCTGTGTTTAATTAACATTCACAGGCTGAAATCATAGCCTGGTACATTCTAACACTTGCTTTTGCAGATGGAGTTGCAGTTGCTCTTTTCTTTTTGAACAACAGGAGAAGGCATTAGTCTGTGTGTATTGAGTCGAAGTTATTTCTAGAGATGCATGTGAGCATGCTGAGGTCATTGGTCCCTTTTGCAGACAGAAGTAGAATATCTACTGAGAGAGTATTGATCAGGCTCAGGCACTGGAGCAGTGCCAGCCGACCACCCCTGCCAACACGGACTCTACGCTTTTGTGTGTAGCCAGAACTTCAGTTGCTGTAGATTTTTTTTTTTTTTTTACTAATGAAAATCTGTCAAAGGGCTTTTATCATCTTTTCCATCTTCTGCACCTAAGCATCTCTGATGAAGTCCCAGTTTCAACATTTTGCTTCTTTTTGTGGATCTGGCTTTATCTACTTTCCTTTTTCTGTGCTTCCATCCCTTTTCCTCACGCTCATTGTGCCTGTGGTATTAGCTCCTCTAAGTACCACCTGGCTGTGAAAATTGCATTGCTGTAATTGTAAACCCTGTGCAGCAGTAAATGACACAATGTTGTAACTTTTCAAAGAGAGGAGGATATTGTTTGCAGCAAAACTTCAAGGCAAAATCAGAAAGAAAATTTACAGTACAAAATAAGCACAATATGACTTCATATTGTAAGCTCTTTGCAGTTTTAACTCTCCTTGCATATTTTTAAGGCACCTAGTACCTCAATCGTACTAGAGAGAGTCACGTGCAATTTGTAAAACATTCTTCCTGGATCTTTTTGCAGTCACACAGGCCTGGGTTGTGCTGACCTTTTGTTTGTAGAGGTCTAGGTTTATGTTCTTCCCAAGACCCACAGGAAGAGAACGGGTTGCCGCCTCCTACTTAGTGACCTTACAAGCTTCAAGTCATTAACATGCCTAAGAGAACACAGACCTGGAGAAGTAGAGAAGCAAGATATCTTGCCTGAGACAGAAGGGAGGCAGGATGGGACTTAAGATTCATGCTAGAAAACCTGATAGTTTCCTTCTTTGTCTGATGCTACTAGACACTGTTATGCTTGTCTTAATTTGTGTGAGTTTTAGCTATTCTCAGGACATTAGATGAAGATTTGTTTGTGCGTGTTTGAGTTGTTCTGCAGTGCGTGCTTTGTATGATGATCAAGGTTTGGCTGAGATGTAATTTAGTTCTGAAACTTGTATTAGTGCTGGAGAAGCAGGTGCAGCAAAGTCTTAGACACACAACTTAGCTGATGATTATCACTATGCTAAATAGGTTCTTCTGTCTGCTACAGCACAAACAGCAGGTATTAATTTTGGTGATGAAACTTACTGAGTTTAAACAATTTTAAAACAAAAAGGCATTTCAGTAGCTCTCAGCTATATAACATCTGCATGCCCAACATTTGACTTGTAAATGTATCCTTCTTCTAATGTATGTTCTGCTTATATATTACTGCTTAACACTAGCTGCTTAAACCAGGGCTAGTGAAGCTATGCTAATGGAGGCAGCGGCACAAAGTAAAAGGTAGCATGAAAAGGACCTGAAACAGTCATTTATGCTTGTGTCTATGCACAGCTGTAGCTGTGCCATTCCTGGCTTTGACTGGCCAAAGACGCAGGATGCTTTAGCCTAAATGCAACACAACTCATTCATTCACTTGTTGCCTCCTCTCTGCCTTTTGAACGCCTTTTCTGATCTTTTCTCCATTCACAGGAAGAATCACAGAACATCTCCATTGCATTTCCCTTCTGTTCTCTTTATTGCGCTCCAGGAAAAAGAGGGAGGAACTGCTTTCGGTCCCACTGGACTCTGTTATTTGGTGTTGTGCAGGGGAAGGAGGGTGCTTCTGAAAGCTACCTGCTGTCTGTCCATAGCAGATTTGGATGCACATACATAAGTGACACCATTGTTGGCCACAGACGTTGTGGGGTTTATCAAGATTTAATGCTGTTGCCCATTTTTAAGTTGTTAACTTTAGTTCTTTTGAACCTAGCCCTGCACGTGACCAGTCGTACCACGGCTCTTATCCCCGAGAGGCTTGCCAGGTTTAAGTGAGTCACTTCCAAACTGTTTCTTGTCAGCCCTTTCCATTTGACCGATTTTTGCCTTTATTATGTCACTGTGACCACCAGCAATACTGTTTCAGTTCCACATCAGGTGAAAAACTTCTCTTAATGGTAACTGATGAAGAATATGTATGAAATCAAATTAGGGTTAGGGAAGATAACGCTGATATCCCGGTACATAATAGAAGACTGTAGCAGCCCTGGCAGTTCCAGCAGCCTAACATCAAAGCCCTTGTTTTTCTTACTGCTCTGCAGTTAAATATTAATGTAAGTTTGCTAGCTATTAAAAAAATAAACATTTCATGTTCTATTTTGTTCTGTTCATAAAAGATAGCAAATGTCTGTTATTTCCTCTCCTTATACACCATGTCCATTAGTTTACTAATATACAGTAAGATAATTGAATGAATCCTCTCTTTTCTTAACTAATAGTAAGCTTTCAATGCCAAGAGTCGTTGTGCCTAAAGCAGCATTCACAGTTTGTATCCGGTATCCGGTCAGTCATTTCCCTGTAACCTTTAGCCTGATTCCTACCTTGTTTGAGAAAATAAAAATCCGCTCTTGGGAACTTGGGGGACAATTAATTGTTGTAAATGTCTCCAAACAACATTGAGCCTCTGAGGAATGTCTAAACAAAAAAAAAAGCCTGCAGGGCTGTAATATGGAGCAGCACTGTCTTTTACTTGCGCTGAAATATGGCACTGGCGGTGTTAAGGACATTACAAGAGAAGAAATCTTCCAGAAGGAAATGTTCAACTGCACTTTGAAATAGATCTCTTTCTCTCTCTTTAGTTGTCTTTAAAATGTCTATTTTGTATTAAAGCAAAAAAAATACAGGTATGCCATGATTTGATTTAGTGAAGCTGGGGATATTGTTTTTCGAGAAAAATGAAGATCTTGGCTGGTTTGTTGCTGGTTTAATCTGGCTGTTGTCACTGTCTATAATTCTTTAAAAAAAAAAAAAAAGAAAGGTTTTTTGTTGCAAAAGGTTACCCACTGGCTTTTGGATGGAAATGCTGTCTCTGGAGTCAGTGACCCTTTTGTACTCTGCTGGTCTTGTTTGCAGTCTGCCATATCCAATACTTCCTAGGTCAGACAAGTCATTGCAATGGTTCTGAATTCCTTTCTTTTCACTATCTAAATTCCAGACTTTTTTCTCCTTCTTGCCTGTCTTGTTTGTATGAGTTTGTGCCATGTGTCTGCTTTGGCAGAAAATCAACTGTCTTCCCTCTTTTCAGGTAGTAACAGGAAAGGAGAAGATGGCTTGATTCTGGATGTTCAAGCTGCTGAGAGGCACTGCGGGAGCTTCTTTGCCCCTTTTTGTCCCACAGTCCAGTAGAAGAGGTTCTTTCCTTCAGTAATTCAGAGGTTCTGAGTGATGCCTGGCTCTCCTCTGCATGTGTGAAATCCTATTTCACCCATCCTCACTGACGTTCTCATCCTTGAGTATTCTCACATGTGCATTTTTATTCATGCTGAAGACCTGGACTGTTACATTTACCATATGATGACTGTAGGATTCAACAAGGTTGTGGAAAGGCTAAAGCTAAAAAAACAGTCATTAAATCTGCTGTCTGGGGCACTGAAGTTTGGTTACCGTCTCTGCCCTCTGCTTTGGCTTGGAGTCTTCCCACATACCTGACACTTCTAAATTCCTGCAGGTTTTTTTTCTCAGCCTTTTTATACACACTGCAGAGAGAGTCAACATCAAGTTTCAGATGTCAGGCTGGCTGAATTGTGTTTTTGAAGACCCTAGTGATTATGAGAGCATATAACAACTAGGTTCTTGGCGTGATGTATTTAGTGACTACAGTTAAGCAAAGGCCAGAAGCATCTTGGCTACAACCTAAAGCAAGTCGCATCCTCTACCTTTTTCTCCTATGTTGCCTTGATAGAATAAAAATAATACTGTATAGGTTTCTGGTATAGGGGAGTTGCCCATTAATGATGACATAAATGGTACATGTACTTGAGATATGTGACCCAGACGTAGGACTACATACACTTTCCTCAGGCTTTTGGCTATACACCGTGCCTTTCCTTTGTTGTTCTGTCTTCTTGGCAGGAGCTAAAATACAGAAACAGGAGTAAAGCAAACTAAGCTGTAAGCAGGTTTGTTTTACCACTGACTGGCTCTAGTCCTGAACTTAACAGCTGACTCCCATTAGAAAGTACTGCTGAAATACAGGCAGTTAAAGGCTAAAATTGTTTGTTGTTCTCCTTTTCTCACTAAAGCTCCTGTGACAACCTTTTTTGAAGCCTGTCATTGATGATGCAAGTAAAGACTTAATAAATCAATTGACGTTAACAAGTGTTTGCTTGTCATTTAAGCAAAATACTATTGACAGATTGACAAACGTCTCTCTGGAAAAAATATTCCATATTGACATCTGTTAACTCGTAACCAGGGAATAATTAATACCAAACACA